AGTAATCCGTTTATTCACAGTGAAAATACACTTCACACACGGGGCCGTCCATCTCCTGATGAAGGCGTTCTGTGTCAGTGTCTTCTATCCCTCACAGAGCTCTATCATAGACCTCCTCAGAGACGTAAGGGCGTCGGCACACAGCCGGTAACGGGTGTCGTTGACCCTGCTTTGCTGATCTGCAGTCGGTCTTTGGTTGTAGAGGAGCACTTAAGAGGACTCTGTGGTTATTGAGCTTGTATTAAGTCGCTGTTGACACTGAGTCACCGTAGAGAAACACTCATTAGACCACAGTTAAGAACATCTCACCGACTGCTATTGGTCAAGAGGTATCTGGTCCAAAATTACAGTTCTTGCGGTTTTCTGAGTGGTTTGTAGAAGTCCTTTGCTTCATCATCCCGTCTTAAATCCAAGATGTTTCTTTTGCATGTTGCACTTGACAGATTTATCAGAACAGCTGATGTAGTTGTCCAATTTTAGCTTGTCACAGATGTTGTTAGTACTGTATATGGCCGCTGCTAAGGAACAACAAATTACAGAGAAAAATCCCAGATATGTTGTTTGGGTAATAACAACACTGGAGACCACTGCAAACTTTGTTCCCCTCCGTGCATATCCTGGTCACATTTATTCTGACTTAAAGGATCCTTATGAAAAACTCTTGGTGAAGTTGAGTATTTCTCCGGCACTAACTTGGATGCATGTTTGCTCTTTGTGCAGCATTGTTTGTTGTACTTTCACTTTCACGCAGGATAATCAACAGTAATCTTTTCCTCTGGTGCCTCGACAGCTGAGAGTCACCGTCTGGTCCCTGTGCACCAAAGCCGTGTCTTACATCAAGTATCCCAAGGTGTGTCAGAAAGGTCAGTATGAGAAACAAGCTGCTTTATATGTTTTCCCGTAGCTTACGATCTGCACGAGTACCTGAGCGCAGAGCCAACGGGGCGAGTGCCTCCGGACGCCCCACGAGGCGCGCGCCATTCTCTACCTTTTGGGTACGAGGCCAAACCTATGGTTCCTCTCCGCTGACAGCTGTGTCCCCCTGCAGCCAATGGGGCACGCTCTTCATAACGGGCCTGTCAGCAGCTCTGGGGAAAAATGATTGTCCGTGACTCGCCCCATCTTCAGCATGCAATACAACGTCCCTCTGCAGCCCGCGTATCCCCTAAGCCGCCATATAAATACTACGGCCATGATATTCATACCAGCGACCTGAGGGTGCCGACGTGTCAGATAATTACATTGGATGAAATGAACAGGAAGCCACGAGGTTAAATATTAAGTTATCGAAATACATAATAGTTTTTTATAATCTGTATACACAGATGTTGTTTTTTAACAAAGTTTAAAATGTTTTATTGCGTCATTGTATTTCTTTATTTCTTGCTGCTGCAGTTACACAAACGTCTCAGAGGAATCAGTTTTAGTTAGTGTGGAAGGAAGTCAGCAAAAGCTAAATGATAAAACATCACCATTACGTTCACTTCATGAACTAACTTAAGCTGTAAGTATTTAACTAATGCTTGTCTCTTTAGTTTGATTGGTCGTTTACTTGTTTTGTATCATGCATTTGTTTTGTTGTTCTCGTCATAGTAAGGTATCGTTCTTCTGGTTAAAGGCCATAAGTGGTTTGATTCTAGCTTCCCGCCGTCGTCTATACAGGTGCAGATTTCAGCAGAGACGGCTGCTACATGGCCCTGGCTGAACGCCGTGACTGCAAAGACTATGTCAGTGTATTTGTGTGTGACGACTGGCATCTGCTCCGGGTAAGTAAGTCTTTGACTTGAGTTCACGACCGTGATTGTACATTTGACACTTGAGTGAGCTAAATAAGCAATAGTGAAGAAATCAAGACACAGGGAGGAATATTACTTAGTAAATCTCAAAGGGGATTCTGCATTACAGTATTTATTACATTATGTACAAGCTCCACAGCCACATGGACTCTGAACATACGTTCATTTTCTCTTGGAAGACTTTAAACAGAACAAGGTATATTTCATGTAAATGTCCTTTTTAGAATGATTTTATTTAACTTGACTCTGTCGCAGCATTTTGAGACTGAGACGCAGGACCTGTCCGGGTTGGAGTGGTCTCCCAATGGCTGCGTGCTGGCAGTGTGGGACAGCTGCCTGGAGGTGAGTCCAGTAACTAAAGGCTATCAAGCTGGGTGGGTGTTGCATGCGTTACGTTTCTTTTTCCATCCTGACTGCAAAGTTCTTGTTGATTTTGCTTTTGATAGCCAGACAGTTAAAGAATCTAAGTGATTGCCCTTTTTAACACGTCTACAAAAGCCGTAACTATTTATTGGTGATGACATTTTATGTTTCTGTCGAATCTGTAGTAATCATTTATATGAATTGGTCTTGTAGTGTGTTTCTGGTTTTAGAGAAGTTGGGTCTGTCCATAAAACAAGTAAAGATACAAGATAACAGCAGAACAACAAACCGACAAGCTGTGAAACCCTAGTGTCAAATATAAAGGAGCTGGTTTGATGAATAAAAACCCAACACAAGGTACCCTAAACTGTTTTTGCTTTTCAGAAGTATTGAACTCAACAATAGGGTGGGTGGGCTGGCTTTGAGTGTTCCTTATTATGAGGCGTTAAGCTGAACAGGCCCGGTGGGGACAGGAACCGGGAGGTCGTACTATAGTTTCATGTGTGTCTGCTTCCTGCCCACAGTACAAGGTGTTGCTGTATTCTCTGGATGGCCGGTTGCTGTCGGCCTACAGCGCCTACGACTGGTCACTGGGTGTCAAGTCTGTGACCTGGAGCCCCAGCAGCCAGTTCCTGGCCATTGGCAGCTATGATGAAAAAGTATGGACAAACTCTGAAAAACCAGATCCCATTATAGCTTGAAACATCACCAGACGTACGATGGACGGTTAAAAAAAGCACAGCTTCATTTCGAGCAACAAAATACTATTTTTTTCAGTTCTATAGTTGTGACTTGTAAACTGACTGAAATTGGTGTCAGACATATTGTGACATAATCATAAAATGTGATTTGTGTTGCCAACATCGGTTCAAATTAAACCACCTTATTACCCTCATGTCAGGTGCGTATCCTCAATCACATCACGTGGAAGAAAATCACACAGTTTGAGCACGTAGCATCCATCAACAGCACGAAAGCAGTGAGTATTTAAGATGCGCCTTGAAGGTGTTGCAGTTCAAATATTAACTGTTTGTTTTGTTTGAAGGTTGTGTATAAGGAAGTGGAGAAAAGGACAGCTGTCGGCAGCGATGACCTTTCACTACACAACATAACAATTGGCACCACCCTCTTCAACACCCAGAGCAAATGTACGTCAGCTTTCAAAAAGAACAATATGGATAAAACTACTGAGATCAATTAACCAGTTATGAAAATCTACAGAATCTTTTTTTTTTTTTTTCTTCTTAATTACTCCAGACGAGATCTGCCCGCCGCCAGTCCAGATTCCTGTGGTCAAACCAGACCCAGACCGAGCCAACCCCAAGATTGGTGTCTCTACTTTGGCTTTCAGCTCAGACAGTCGCTATTTAGCCACCAAAAATGGTAACACTTCAAAGCTGTCCACCTTTGATGTGATTGTGCACCGAAGGGGGGCCCTTAAAAAGAAGAATACCTTAATTGGTATTTAAATGAGTTTATGAATCTTCGTTTTTCTGACTGTGCAGTTTAAAGTTACTGAGGAACTTTTAATTGGTTATATAATCCGTCTCAATTTAAATACTGCTGCATCTAGATCACCTGCATAAGTAAACGAGACCCTCCGAGGGATTGCTTGTTAGATGAAATCATGCAGGTTCACCAGAAAATACTTTAGCTCAGACTGCAGAGACTTCATCACAAAATCAAATTCTCAAAAATAATTAGTAGGATCTGTTTTCTGTGAATGTTTCTTGGATTATGTGATGAAGGTGAGTCCAGCTAGAGGCAACGGGGAAATGTTTAACATTTAAATAAAAATGAGTGAAATTGTCCCTATTGCAATTAATGTAATTTTTCTATTCTTAAAATGTGGTTATATGAGGATGAGCTTAACTTTAATTCCAAATTGCATTAAAAGAAATCTATAAAAGTCTTCAACTCCTTCTTGCTGCGGTGTTTTTGTTTCATGGCTCTAAATGTGTATCTGTGCCTCTAGACAACATGGCCAGTGTGGTGTGGGTGTGGGACATGCAGAAGATGAGCCTGGTGGCCGTGCTGCAGCAGACATCGGCTGTGCGTTGCTTTCAGTGGGACCCCCGACGCCCCCGGCTGGCGCTGTGTACCGGCAACACCAAACTCTACCTCTGGTCCCCGGCAGGCTGCGTGTCCGTCCAAGTCCCCGCTGAAGGTAAAAGCGCCAGTGTTTCCTCGTGGTTTAGGGGGGGGGGGCGTAGTAGGGGGGTAGTCGGTCTGCCGTTGGTCTTTGTCCGCTGGTGCGAGCGCCAGGTTAAAGCTGCTGTGTGTGTGTGTGTGTGTGTGTGTGTGTGTTCCAGGTGGTCTACAGGTCCAGTCACTAAGCTGGCACTGCAGTGGGGACTCTCTGATCCTGCTCGGGAAGGAGCAGCTATGTTTGTGCTACATGGACCAGGAGGACAAGTAAACGACAAAGACGCGGCGCCCTCAAGAACGGCTCTATTACAGGGTCCGCTTATTTGACGATGCACACTTGGCTGGAAATGTGTTACGGTGACAATGAAATGACCCTCGTGCAGGTTACTGGGATGTTCCTTTTCTCCTCACGTTCACATGAAATTCTTCGAGCGACAGACCAATATATAAATATCTTCTTTTTTTTTTTTTTTTTAAATAACCAAATGTGTACGGAAGGACTAGTTTTGAACACTGCGAGATGATATAGGTTTACAGATTTCACAGTACGTGTTTTATTTTGAATAAATGTTATCTTTACTAAAAAATTGAAGGTAAGTTGTTTGAGTTTGTCAAAAGAAGTGTTTCCTCTGCTCACGCGGTTCAGTATTGTGATGGTGAAGTTGCTAATCTCAGAATGAAATGCGTCCAAACTGTCAATGAAATATTTATTTTCTGGAAGCATTTGAGTTCACTGCAACAAAATCCGTAAAACCCAACAAGTATTTACAAACTGTTTGAATATATTATTTTAAAAAACATTTCTGATGCAGATTCAGCGTGCAGGAAACATGCAGAAGTCCAGAAAAGGGCATTTTGCAACACATCGTCAACACTGCCAAGCAGGAAAATATGGCCTGTTTACTTTGGTAGTAACCATTTATATTAGATTGGGTTTAGGAAAGATTGACACCTAAATCTTGTGAACAAGATTTATACAGACCGAATGTGGTTTACGGGTTAATTCAAAGCTTTGTCTGCGTGTTTCATTTAGTAAAACTGTTTATTCCCACTGCAAAGGTTAATGCAGCTGAATACCTGTGTGCCTGAAACAAACGCAGGACCAAAAGGCAAATACTAAAAATAAATACACAGTTTTCAAGTTAATGTTGCATAAAACATCTAACATCTTGCTTATTTAGCTCTGCATGTGGGACACAATTTAGGCAAATGTAAACATGGAAAGCACAACACCTAGTTTATCTCCACCGAACAAGCAGCATTGACATCCAGCTGTTATTTTCCATAAGTAACCGTTACACTCAGAGCTTTGATTATGAAACAGTTTTCCTGTTGGTAAACATTTTTAATAACGATGACCTTGCATTCCACAAAGCTACCCTACGGCCCCAGGATCTGAATAATGCAGCAAATATGGAACACATATGATTTTAGTTTCACTTTATCACTTCTCTGGTCAATTATAGTACAGTGCAGAAGCGCTGAATCAATGAGCTCTCTCCTTTCGCTGCAACTTATGTCGCATGTGCACGCGCTCCTGGGGGCCCACGTTGGATCAACTCTTTGCAGGAAAGGTCCTCCAATTTAAGGAACGGTGACATGAGATGGGCTCAACTTAACCGATTGCACATTACACTGTCGTGCAATGAAAGCTTCCCTCAGCGTGAACTCAGGCCGGATTTTAAGAAACTTGATTTTAGAAGCCAATCTTTCCACGGGTTATGGAGTAGCCCAACTTGGCCTCGTTGTTGATGAAGGACATAATACCTAGATATGTCTCGATGAGCAGGGGCCTCTCCAGGATCAGCACGCCGTTGGCCCGGCCGGTGAGGGGGTGCTCCCGGTGAGCTTTCTTCACTGCCTGCACCAGCTGGGTCCTGAAGTTATCCATCTTTTGTGAGTAAAAGAAGAAAAAAAAACATGAAACCAGGACACCTCTCCAAGAAATGTGGATAAACGGTACTTGAGACTAACTTGCGCCATTCATTAATATTTATTAACGGCTCTCGCAAAGTTTTCCCCAGGCACCATTGCTGCCCCGCCAACAACAAAAACCTGAAAATAACTGTACACAAAGACGTGTCTATCTTTCTATCAAAGGAGGAGCTTTATTTCCAAGGCAGTCTTTTGTTATCAGATGTTACTGCTCAAGCAAGTGTGTTGCCTCTTTTTGCATGAATTAACTGCTGCATCAGTGGTCCCCATTGTTGCTTTGTGAGATATGCAGGATACTCAAGTAAACATGTTCATTTACAAGTGTAAAATAGCCTTATTCAATGAAGGAGATTGTACCTGGCAGAGAGAGGCCACCGTCTCGTCGGCGTGGGCCATGGGGTGCTCTGTGAGGGTGGCGTAGGGCATGTCTGTAGACCAGGGGTTCCAGCGGTTTAGGAACGTGGCGCGAGGACGCTTGTCCCACTGGACACGAATTCCGTAGCCCTCTCTCCTGTAAGGAAACACAACAAAGAGCTGTGGGAAGCTTAAGGATCGGCCATGGACATCATTTTATGAACATTTCTACAGAGTAGATATAAAAACATAAAACTGGCTTGCATACTTGTTGAGGGATTTGGGTGGGAACTCAAACTCGCCCACTGAGATGGTGTCTACAGCGTTGAGCGAGATCCTGACGACCTGCTGACACAACAGGTTGATGAAGTCGTACTTGCACACCAGCAGCGACCTGTGCACGCAGCCACAAAATGTGTTACAATTACAATGTCAAACGTCATAGTATGTTTGTACTTTTCGTAACACTTGGATCAATAAAATGTACTTTTTGAGTTACCTATCAGTTATAAGCACAAGTCGCTCCCTCTCATTGTTCCAGTGGTCGATTCTGCAGAAAAACCAAGAAGACAAAATGGCCAATGAATTTTTTGACATTTGTAAAGCACAAGTTGAAACCTGGTTTGTGGTTAACTCAGTTGCATTGTTAAAAGAGGTATAAATGTGTAAACCGACAAGATAATGGGGGGGGGGAAACTCAGCAAACTTGAATTGTAGTGCATGTACATGCTGACATTTACGGTATTAAACAGGTAACCGGAATAAAAGGTATTTATTCAGATTCTGGACACTGACTGAAGTATGTTCAGGATCATTCTGACTACTCTTACAAAAAAAGGAATACTTTTACTGTGCAAAGTTAGATAATTATCCAAAGTAAAAGCCTCACATTTGCTCCATAATAGTCTTTTTAACTTGCAATTACGTTGAAGAAATCTCTACATTTGTACTGTAAAAGCATTTCATATTCAGCATCATAGTAGTCAGACAGGTCCTTAACACGTGTATGTTAGTCTTTGTCAGATTATTGAGAGAAGTATTTTTATTGCTGTTTAAATATGTGGAAATTGTATTTTTGAACTTGCAAATATGGGGCTACTTGGAGAAAGCTCTAAATTTGTACCAAAAAAGATTGCATTTTTAGTACAAGAGTAGTTAATAGAGGTCCTGTACACACGTGCTTCTATCATCGTCCGGAATGTGTTATTTAAAAAGCCTTTTTACTGTAGCGTGTTTAATACCGTAAATGCGGACATATACGTGCACTAAGATTCAAGTGCCTGCTGAGTTGGCCGCAGTGAAAAACTGATCAAATCGTTTGCCCCCATTTAATATCATTTAACATGTAAATATGGATGAGCAGCTGGATTAAGAAGATGCTATTAAAACCCGACGGCTCACTGTCAAACAAACGCTTCCTCTGCAGCGCTTAACAAAATCCGCAGAGGATGTGCCTGCAAAGTCTCCCCCCCCACAGTGCGCGCACACTTACTCTGCCAGCAGCCAGACGCTGAGCACCTCCCCGTCCTCGGAAGGGAGCGCCACCGTCCTGATGTCGCTCACAGCCTGCTCGATGGTTCCTGGCTGAGATGAGCATCACACAACAGGAGTCATCACACATCCCCCACCCACCCCCCCCCCCTGCGTGGTGCCTAAATGCCTGTCGCAATCACCTGTCAGCGTGCATTGCGTGTGGATGCATCGGCGAGCCACATTATAACTACAGTGCAATTTGTTTATTAAAAAGACGGGCGGGCGTCGGATCGTCTGAGCGCGTCGATTCACTCACCCTGAACACGAAATAGTCCTTCACCTTCGCTTGCATCGTGGGGTTGCGCACGTGGAAGGGCGTCAGCGTCTGTAACGGGGTGCAGCAGGCCACGGAGCCCGCGCGTCCGAGGCTCCGCTCGGCCTCCGGCGGCGTGAAGGCCACCTCGACCCCGTCCTCCGTGTCCGCCGGGTGGAGGATCGCGACGCCCGGACTGTGCGGCTCCACCGAGTCGTTCAGCTGCAGCATGGTGACGTGCGGGCCGAGGGTCAGATTGCGCGGTGTCCACTGGAGGACGCGGACTCGCCCATTAGGGCGATGATGTTTTGATAGTGAGCGCTACGAGGAAGTAGTGTCCTCTCACTTCCTTCCCCCCTTTCGTTTCCTTCCTCTTAAAGGGGCATCGCAGCTGATGGAGGAAAGTAGTGTCTAGAGCGGATGAGCCCCATGATGCCAGTTAAACAATGACTCCATAATCTGAAACTCACCGGTTTCCCAAATCCCAAAAATGTATCGACAGACTGGTTTCCTCTGATGGGGAGAGGAAGAGCAACCAGACCAGCTCAGTTTTAAACAGCAGAGAGATGTGATTGATTTCAAGTATAAAACAGAATGACATGTGAGTTAAGGGAATCACTCCTACCAAGAGTAAGTAGAGCACATGATGTTGAATGTGTTGTAACCTTCCAGACTGACTGAAGGCAATAAATGCTAGATGTTCGGGAGCAGAAACGCCACCAACCGCCGTCTATAATAAATCACTTAAAGTCCAGACGTATTTAAACCCCTCTACTCCTGTGGTCTTGTTTTGTTATTTTTTCAATATCACCTGGATTGGAATTCTCATCAATGCGCGTACGACGTCATTCGGATGCAGTACCGCTTTCAGCCACAACGACGTGCCAGCGGGCTGATGGCGCTCTTTCAACACAGATGGATAATACTGCATTTCCTGTGAGGGTGACACAAATAAGATTGTTAAACTTTTTTTACAGCTATTTTTGTGTTGGAATACATTTCGAATGTTAAACGTTTTTGATACATTTTACGAATTTGCATTAAATCATTCTGGGATGTTTCCTCGTATCATTTTATTGCGCATATTGGGCTTTATTGGGGGGCTTAGCAGGACCAATTTTCAGCCTTATTGACATTGTCACAGCTGATGCTAGTCCCACATGGACCCACTTGTTGTCCTAGAGGTTACCAACAAACTCCTCTAGTCCAAAAGAGCGGCCTTGATCGTTCTGTGTGACATTAAACTCAATGCTATCGACACTGAGTGCAGTGAGTTTTCTGAAGAGCACAGTGAGAAGTTGTGCATGTGTTAAGCTACCTTTGGTTGGACAGTTGGTTTGTTAGGCAGAACGGAACAGCTTGATCATTCTTAGCACAAGCTTAATAATCATTGTGATATCAGAACCCTCTCCAGGCTCTTTAAAAAAACAATCTCATCAGAGGGATTCCCACGTAGTGACAGGTAGGCTCGCCCCAAACGTTTGTGCAGTAGCACAAGTAGACTTTAATACTACATTGACATATGTTAATAATTTAATTGCCCTTTATAGTATTCATTTAAACAATTCTATTTTCATACTTGTTAATAACCAAACACGCTATTTCCGGATAGAAATGTATCTGCCTTTTCATTGCTTTTTATACTGTGACTTTAAATCCCATCTTTAATGTGGCATACTGAACATTTATTTTTGTCACACACTCACCTGACAGACTCAGGTTACAAATAGAATTTAAAAAGCACACAGGTTTTATTGCATATCAATTTCATGTATAAATTCTTCATAGCATTGGAAAGATTACATTTGGTATACATTGCTATTCTACAGAATTAACATCAGAGTCATATCTTTTCAATGAAATTTCTCTAAAGTACATCTTCAATAATCACAAGCATCAAAAGAACTGCAATTTTCAGAATTGTTCAATATTATTCTACAATCCTTTATTGTTTTTCATTATGTCTTCTCCCACAACTCTTTTCTAACGTCGTTCAGAGCCACCTGCCCAAAACACCTGTAAGGCAGTCAAGAACTTGAAGTCAAACCTACCAAACTAACCACATGTACAATAAGTGCATCTACGGATTTATTTTTTTCTTTCTTTTTTTTTCTTCATTTTTTGATTTCATACACATTTCACAAATGGACATCATTATGACTGCTAAACACGTCATGCACAATATCTTATTTTGTTTTCCATAAACATAACAGAGGCGATATACAACTCAGATTCAAACAAAACAAGCACCATCCATTTAAACCCATATTTTTTCAATGATTTTTTTTTCTTCAGACAAATGCACCATTGTTTTTCCTTCTTTAAAATACTTTACATTTAAAAAGAAACAATATGTATATTTTTACTTTCTCCTGTAACAGTGGGGGAAAACAGCAACCATGTTCTATTATGCTGAAACGTATTTCAGCGACCATCTGCCAGAATACTTTCTGACGTTGGCAAAATGGAATACTTCAATGCCTTCAATTATTTTGCTTTACTTATTACAGTAGTCCATGACATGAAATACTACATATAATCACCTAAAATAAAAAAACGTAGCAACCCAAGCCTTTACATTTTATAACCACGACTTGAGAAAAACAATGTGTTTATCATGAATGAAATCTCATTCAGTAGAATTATTTTTAAAAAAAGACTTCTGTCTTTAGAAAAATTGAGATGACGCAGCAGTCCTCGTCAGCATCACGCTGCCACCGGCTGTCGTGAATAGAAATTACAGTGCTTCTGTTCCAGAAATGTACTCATCCCTCCATGTTAAACTCAAGCTGCTTACCAATCAAATGGGAAACCAGTCGGAAAATGTTCTACTTTCTAGAAACCAAAGCCGGATCGATTTATGGTTTAAGTACAAGCTTCAGGCTTAGTTCTGTGAGTCCCGGGACGCAGGCAGGACCAAGGCGACAATTATCAACAATGCTCAACCTCCCCGGCCCCCCGGCCCCCGTTATCTTTATCTACAGTACCCCCCATGGAATGAGATTGTATTATGATCTCAGAAGAATATCAGGGAATATAAAGTTAGATTCATGATCTAGTGTTTCTGTTTTTCCTGTCCAGAATTTAAAAAATAATATTAGAAGAAGATATTGTTCTGCACATTGAAAAGACAAACCAGCATAATCATGATATTGATTTTAACGCCATCTGAGGTCTAGTGTGATTTCATTCTGTGTGAGTGTTTTAGACTTTTGGAACATGTTTTGTAGGATAACTAATTTAAAAAAAGAATATTCATTGTTTACACAACATATAGCAGGTGACACACCAAAGGGGAAAAGGGAACTTGATGTGGAAGAAACTGGTCGGATTCAATAGTGTGACAACACAATGCCCTTTCCTGATATTTGTCCAAGTTTGACCCCCGTAATACTGGAACCAATTCAAACACAATCAGCATACTGGGTAAAATGGGCGAAATGAAAGAAGAAAAAACAATAAACACTGCAGGACGATACATTGCAAAATAGGATCTAAAGCTAACTACAGCTATATTTCACTATAAATAAAAACAATGAATTTCATGGGTTCTTTCCATTATGGCACACTAACGCATCAACAGAGATTCAGAACCCCCCCCTCGTTCTCTCCTTCTGACGCTCATTCCTTCAGTATCACGAAAAAGAGGGATGAAATGACATGCCTTCATTTTCACTCCTCCAGTCATAACAAAACAACCAAAAATAAATACATACACACATTTCTGAAATCAATTATAGAAGAGCGTAATAATAAGAAAAAAAACTATGACAGCAAATGCAAGCCCCTTGGAAATGAAATGATTGTCAGAGAACAAAACATTTTCTATGGGTTATTTGGCACATACCACTCTTGCTATGAACATCTAGGTTATTTTGTACATCACATGTCAATATCATAGAATTTTGGTCCTTCTCTAAAATAATTATATTAACAATTTAGCACTGTGGTGCCTACAAAAAACAATACTGTGGTATCTAAGAGGAGAGGAAGTAAATAAAATTAACAAATGATGATGAAATAAACAAGCAGAGAAAGACTTTCCTCATCTTTTGAGTATGATTTGAATTCATTTTCAGCATGATCAAATGGGGTAACCAAATACAATGGCTAGTGTCCCAGATTGCTCATCAAAATCACCAGTTGCTGTGCACATTTGAACATTTAACATCGTTCTCCATGTAATCATTTAAAAAATCAACAGTCTACTGGAATTTGTATTCCCTCAAGTAACATTTAGTGTGGTGCTATTGTTAATTCTGCAGTTACAACTGAAGTAGGATCAGTACACGCCTGTGATTGGTGAAGGGGGGGGTGTGTGTGGGGGGGGGGCAGGAGACAACAGTACACGCGCCCACCATGTTCCCGGTGAAACACCAACACCTTGTGGAGGTGCAGTGCGAACGCAGGGCGGATGCTGCAGTGCTTGTAGTCGGTCTGAGAGCCGGGCGTCGGGTCTCCGTGCTGCTGCAGTGAGCTCGTGGACTTGGGGAGAGTCAGAGTGATGCAGAGTTTCAATGCTGTTGAGAAGCATTCATCATGTCCTTCACATCAACAGGAGCTAAGCAGTGCTTTCTTTTGGAGTCTTTTGAGATGTCTCACACAGAGACAATCTCTCCCCCCCTCGCTCTCTCACTCAAACCTATACACACACACACACACACACACACACACACACACACACACACACACACACACACACACACACACACACACACTCACACTCCACACTAACATATTCTTTCTATCTTGAATGAATGTGACAACACATGTCTCGTCTAGCGTCCTCATCTTTCGCTCCTCATGTCCACTCTGTCACATGTTCAATGTTTCTCCTCCTCTTCCTACCGCGTCCGCTCTCTCGTCTACATGTGGTTGAGCGGGTGAAAGCCGCCGGTCTCAGACGGTCCACCTCCCATGCTCAGCCAGGCGTCCAGGGAGTTCTGGGAGGGCGCGTGCAAAGGGTTGTTCTCCGAGAGGGACAGCATCATTGCATAAGCCTGCGGGAGGAGACAGGTGACTTTTAACAACAGGAAGCAACTCACTACTTTCAAACGCTTATTATTAGGTAACATGTCAGACAGAGTCATATCTTTGAGGCATTTTACAATTTTACATTTGAATGTTTTTGGTAAATAAAATATTGACGATGACATCAATATGAGATGTCTTTGGCATATTTTACTGACATTTTTAATAAACCTTTTATTTTTGTCTATCTACATGCCTTTACCTTCATAACTTTATTATCTTCATTTTTCTTAAGGATCTTTATGGAATAATACATGATCAGTTGTATACTACTGTGATATTTCTATGCATATCCTAGCATGGGACACTATTGGATGCGGTTTATGGGAAACTTCACTTG